TATGAAATATCTCAAAGAAGAGACTGGAAGAAGTGGAAGGTCGAGGAACATGCTCGTTAAGATGGTCGCTATAGGAAGTCTGAAATGGAGGCTAGAAGCGACGAAGAATCTCGCGAAGCGTAGATCAGCAAGGCGACTCTGCATAAGAAGTTTGCCCCCAAAGACTTGACGATTCACGGTGTCTGGGATTCTATGCATCGGAGGTTTTACTCGAAGATGAAATCAGGTACAGGCGTGGAGTCTGTCGACCAGGATGATCGTTATAAGAAACTTGAAGAACAGACTGGTCACGACGAAAAACATCCCAGCAGAAAGTTAAGAGACGTGGCGACTCACGGTTTCTGGGAATCTTTCCGTAATTGGATTTTCCAGAAGGAACGGAAATTAGTTCCAAGCGTGGAGGCTGTCGACCAGGATGATCGTTATAGTAAGACTGGAGAGCAGGCTGGTTACGACGAGAAATATTCCAGCAAGGAGACAAAAGACGTGACGACTCACGGTTTCTGGGATTCTATCTTTCGGTGGTTTTTCTCGAAGGATGTGAAATCAGGTACAGGCGTGGAGACTGTCGACCAGGAAGAAATGCAGGAGGCGAAGAGCGGTACTGGCGCCCACATGACTCTACAATTTCGTCTTGGTAGGAAGCATCACGACGGAGAGTAACCCAGCAAGAAATAACATACTGCGGCGATAGTACACGGGAGGTTAGGTGACTCGAGAACAATCAATTGTCCCTGCTTACCTTGTCAGAAACTAGCGAAGAAGCAGAAGAAGTAACGCCGGAAGCTCCAGAAACAACTCGAACAGGAAGAAAAGAGACTGGAGAGGAGGCGTCTAGTGTGTGATTCTACTTATTGTCAGATGCTAGATGCTCAAGATAACTGGTGGGAAAAATGCGTTATTTGCAGAAAGATGAAAGAACGAAAACACAAGAAAGAAAAAGCTGAGAAATATCAGTGCTCTTGTACTTACTGCCAAAATTTGGACAAGCAGAAGAGGTTTTTAGTTTTCTGTTACTGAACATCATGAATTTTAAACTTTTTATATATGTGACGCACATATCAATATATATATATATATATATATATATATATATATATATATATATATATATATATATATATATATACATATATACACACACACACACGTGCGTACACACATTCATGTTTCGAGAGAGCAACCTCACACACATACATATATATATATATATATATATATATATATATATATATATATATATATATATATATATATATATATATATATATATATATATATACATATATATATGTATATATATATATGACTGCCGCGATAGCTCAGTGGTTAGAGCACTGGACTCCGACGGCGGTCGAGCCCGAGAAAACGACATATCGGCTTGAGATGTCAAACTCAGGTGTCGTAGGGGAAGTCGCCGCCGTGGCACAAGTGTTAACGCGCCGAACCGCGGTTGATTAGGAAGGGCATTCAATCTGGCAAGGGTGACACTGCCATATAACCTCTCAATACTGAATTGAGAGAGGCCTACGTCCTGCAGTGGAATGAATGGCTGTTAAAAAAAAAAAAAAAAAAAAAAAAAAAAAAAAAAAATATATATATATATATATATATATATATATATATATGTATATATATATATATTATATGTCCCATTCTTATATGGGGTCGCTATGATCAGGTTCAGGCAGATATTTTTTATGGCCAGATGCCCTTCCTGACGCCAACCATTTCTATTCACCCGGGCTTGGAACCGGCACTGACGGGCTAGCTTGCCCACTCAGTGGCTAGGTTTTTATATATATATATATATATATATATATATATATATATATATATATATATATATATGTATATATATACATATATGTATATATATATATATATATATATATATATATATATATATATATATATATATATATATATATACGACTGCCGTGATAGCCCAGTGGTTAGAGCACTGGACTCGCGGCGGCCGTAAAAATGCCTGCGATCTGCCTGCTGGCTCAAGCCCGGTTTACCCAAACGACCCGTTTCACTGCTTCGAACCTGAAGAAAGTCAGGGAATCAGTACATATCTAGAATTAGTGATAAATGACAAAACACAATGGAAAGAAGTTATCATAAACCTGCTTTGCGCATATTTTTTTAGCATGAATGTTGAAGAAATATGGCATTCACAAGAAAATCAAAACACACACACACGCATCTGTAGATATTTTCGCAATTTCTGACATGTATCAAGCTGAAATATTGCTGTAGGAAATATCTGGAAACTCCTGTTTTGGCATGACTCAGATAAATTTGATGTTTCCTTTGGTGTTGAAACAGAATTTTGAAAATAATATCTCTATTTGGCAGTCCATTTACATTTTAAAATTAAATGCAGGATTCAGTTCGTAGTTAATTCAGTTATTACCCTTGTGAATTTTGTCGCACATTTGAATTATTATTTTACCGTTTATTTTTTCATCAATTCTCTGTTCTTAATTTTCAC